TAACTCTAAACTTACAAAAGTTGCAGATTCAAATTTCATTCAATAAACCTAATCTTATAAAACTAGCATAATCAAATATGAATACAACGAAAAATTCGCAAAAAAAACAAAATTTAAAACTGAGCAAAATCACTTTATACGTTGAAGAAATAGATGCAACCGTAGATAGAAAAGGGGAGAGGAAGAGTGATACCGTTCGAGAGGGCCGGCGGCGAAGACTGCGAACGGAGATGAGAGAAGCTTAGATAGATATTTAGGGTTTGTATTTGTTATGTATATGGTGGGTTTGGGATTGGGTCATATATTGGGCTCACGTAATATTTTTATATGGTTTGATTCTGATTTTACTCTTTGCACATCACTTTTTTAAACACACCATTTTGTAAAATAAAACATGTTTCAAAGTGTTATAATTGTGATCCTTTGGCCAAAGATCTACCTTTGAAGGTGTGTTAGTTGTGAGAGCCCCTTAAAATTCTTTTTTAATGGTGGAACAACTATAACCAAAAATACCATAACACAAATTCAATTTGAAGTTCATTGTCGAATTATTACATAGAGATTTTCAAATTGATCGCTTATACAATAGTTTAACATTTTTTATTTTCATTCTAAAAAGTGTATTTCAAATATAATTTAACTAGGATAATTCTCTTATGTCAGTGTCATTGGTGAACTCGACCAAGTTGTCAAGACTCAAGGAATAGGGGTGGACGAAATATACGCTTCAACATTATCTTATCAGATGAGTGGTCTATATTAAATTATTTACTTAGTATTCTTCTCTTTAACACCTAAGCTCTTTGTTTATTCAGTACTACTATATTTTATAATATTTGAATAAGATAATTATCTATTTTGTGAACTCGTTTATTAGTTTTATCTTCATTCATTTACAAATTTAAATTAACTTTAACATTTCTTATCATATTTCTTTGACCATAAACATTTTACAATATAATTGAAACAATTAAGAGGTTTAAAAAAATAGATTTAGTTGGTACCGTGAACAATTTTTAAGCTATAATCAAACTAATATATCTCTTAGAATGTCATTCATATGCACATACTATGACAACAAAGTTGCGTCAATCACCCAGCACCAACCTCTTTCTTACTTACTAATATGTTATTTTACATTGATTACATTTCATTTCATCTTAATTTTATTTCATACATATTAAAAGGTATAAATTTAAAATAGAGATTGAGTATGAAAACTAAATTGGTTGTTTCATCTTTTGGGAGATGGAATGTCAACCATATACTCAAATGTCTGCACAATGACTTAAGAGAAGTTATGAAAAAAATACATATTTTTCTATTATTTCTACATTTAGTTGTCATCCGTGACAAAATCACATAGTTATAAGTTTAATGCATATATCATCTCAGATAACCATTGTCACAATATTAGGATTACATAAAAATATAAATGCCATAATACTATTAAGTTGTCTCACCCTCATACAATTTGAAACACATATACACTCATCCTTTCTAATACAATACATATTTTCTAATACAATATGTATCTCCCTTAATATTAATGTCCATTAGTGACAGGTTAAAAAGCAAAACACCATACTGAACTTAATATCATATTTACTACATGCTGCAATTTGTGTCCTTGGTTTAAATTATAACTGCAATTTTGTCGTATTATTCTTACCCCATCAATTCACTATTGCTCTTTAATTAAAATTGTTTTCTGTTTTTTAAATGGTATACAATCCATATAATATTTATACACCATTATATGAAATTGGATCCTCTCTAATTTTTTCTCTCATGTCATATTTCATGTGCAATTATATGCTGCTAAATCAATCTAGTGGTTGACAATAAAGAGAAAAAAACATCATTTAAAGAAGAGAGAGAAATATATACTAGTTTTAATTTTCTTTTATTAATCAAATATTTAAGAGACAAAGATGAATACATTTTTTTTTATTGTGAATGAATCACATGTCTATTTTTATTTTCTTTAATTTTGTGGTATTTTTTGTCGGTATCATTGCTACAACAATCAACTCAAATTGATTGTGACTAAAGAAAGATTGTATTAAAAGTGATAAAAATAATCATTTCCACAATAGACAAAGATTAAAAGTTTCATAAAAAAAAGTTTTTTTTAGTACAATAAAAAAACTATATTGTCTCATAATCTCATTTTAATGTTATGGGATTAAAAATTAATTATTTTAATTAATTCTTTAATAAAAACTAGTAAAAAATCCGTGCGGAAGCACAGGTAGAATAAATTTGTAAATATATATATAATTTTGATAAATATATTTGTATAAGCGTTAAATGAAAGAGAATGCAATAGAAAAAAAAGCAATATAAATTTGCAACACAAAAATTACATATGAAACAATTAATTTAACTCAATGATGAGGTAATGTTGACAATAAAGGACTAAAGTAATAATAAATAGTAAAAGAGAAGTACAACAACAAAATGTCATCCAACAGATGTTGCAAAATAATTTGTCCATTGAAGTTGGTATCAAAATATGCAGCTGTAAAAAAAAGAATTAGATAACAATTTGATCAATTATTCGTATGAAAGCTTAATGATAGAGAAGAGTATCAATGTTATACCTTTTAAATATTGTGGAAAACTTCTTTGAATACAACGTTAGTGGTTGTAGCATTCGCATTGTTATCTTTATCATGAATCAAAACCAAATCTCCCTTAATGGATAGTAAAATAGTCATTTCTTTTCAGATTTTCCAACCCGAAACGGCGCTGAACTTGACAATTTGTCCCAAACTTTCAGCCATTTGACGCTTAGCACGAAAATGATAGACTTTACCAACAGGGTGTATCTATGTCATCATCACATCCATCAACCTGCCAGATTGAGTAACATACGATATCCATTGCTTCTGTGGATGCACTCCTTTCTTCATTTCCTACCAATTTCAAACAACATAACCAAAACATGCATTTTATCAAACACTTTACAAGTTATACAACACTCCCAGATTATAGAAGTGACTAAAATATTAAATTAAGAAGAACTGATATGTAACGAGATAGCGGGATTTCACGGCTTGGATCGGGATATTGAGTAACAAAAATATAATCATACAAAACTGATAGATTCAAATTTGAAGTATAATAATAAACAAAAGAACTTAGCAGAACCATTTCTTTTGTTGAATAAATAAGGTAACCGTTAATAGCATAGAGAAAGGAAAGAGGGTTAGCGTTGGGTGGATTCTAAGAAAACCGGCGGCGAGTGCTGAGAATGGAAATGACAGCAGCTTAGACAGATACTTACGATGGATTTGAGAATGGTCATATATTGGGCTCACCTAGTAGTTTTATATTTTTTTAATTCTGATTTTACCATTTGCACACTTGGTTATTTCTTTATACACCCTTTTGTAAAATTGTATATGAAATTCAATCGAACCAATCTATCTATAGGAAGCACAAACACCCCTTTACTCTGCTCATGTCCAACGCGCGACTTGTAACTTGTTGGAAAAATTAGTTATAAATCAAACAAATGTTATTAGAACTCTCTATCTCTCTCACACACACTCTCTCTCTCTCACACTCTCACACACACACTTGGTTTCACCACCTATGGGCTATTTAATCTAATTCGATTGTCAGTTTTTTAATATGAAGTGGTTTCAGCTTTCTCGCAATCATAAACTAAAATCTAATGTCAATCACTCCTAACGATTTGTGAGAAGTATGATATTAGAAGTTAAATTGCCTCGAAACTATTAGTCATTGAACATTAATGACTATTGGTCATTGAATATTAATGATTATTATTAGACTTCGACTGTGTTTATTTCCACGGTGGAATTAAAGGAAACGTGCATCTAACTCAAAAGGTACAAAGTGTAGTTTTTCATTTTCACGAAGGAATATCCTTCAAACATGCGTTTGGTGGCTAAAACGCCAAACCAAAGAAATATGTGTTTAGCTTAGAAGTTACAAAGTGTAGCTTCTAATTTTCATGATATCCTTTAAACTTATGTTTGGTGGCTAAGACGCCAAACCAACCAGGCACTTCTTTATATTGTCTCCCGTCTTTAAAATTTAAAAACATTAATTAAGTATTAATATTGCTTTTCTACCGGAGAGGAATTAGAAGAAAATGACTAGAAAAATAACATATGGATTGCAAGTTTCAAACAATAAATTAGTACTTAATAAAACATCCATAACTTAAACAAGCCACCGGATAATAGAATTGTAAACACTCCCACATTTTAATTTTTAATGGATACTCTCAATCAAATATTAAATTCTTTTAAGATTATGCCTTCAATATTAAGACTTCAAAATTGTAAGGTTTTTGATTAAATTCTTTTAAGATTATGCCTTCAATATTAAGACTTAAAAATTGTAAGGTTGAATGGCTCTTATTTCTTCTTCAAGATATCTGCATTCCTCATCCACATTCGATGTTTTTCTTCCTTGTTAACATATATTTAAATTAGACTTTTCACCCAATCATTCAATACAATGTCAATTTGTCTTCAAAATTTTACTGAATTTTTTTTCTTGATGATTAAGAAATATCAAATTCAACAATTAATTAGAAAATTAAAATTGCTCAATGTTCATGTTATTTAAATTTCATCCTAGGCTCATGTTTTCTTATCAGTGAAATGGAAACATAAATTGCAAGCAAATTTCATTCTGGGTCATGTTTTCCTATCAGTGAGATGGAGACACAAATTGCAAACAAATCACTTGAATATTACCAGAAATCATTTCCCTTGTTAAAACATGACCTAAAAAATTATATCAAGTTAGTAAATTGGTAAGTTGAAATAATTGTTATTGTATTTAATTTGAAACGAAAGGCAAATATGAAACACTGAAACTTATAAAAGCATAAAAAACAAGTCAGAATAAAATGAAAACTGTATTCTGAATTTCATAAATGGATAAATGACCATTTACCAAAAAAGCTAGCATGAAATTCAAAACCAAATCTCCCTTAATGGATAGTAAAAGAGTCATTTCTTTTCAGGAGCCTCAGGATTTTCCAACCCAAAACGGCGTCTAAACTTGGCAATTTGTCCCAAACTTTCAGCCATTTGACGCTTAGCACGAAAATGATAGACTTTACCAACAGGATGTATCTTTGTCATCATCACATGCATCAACCTGCCAGATTGAGTAACATACGATATCCATTGCTTCTGTGGATGCACTCCTTTCTTCATTTCCTACCAATTTCAAACCACATAACCAAAACAGGCATTTTATCAAACACTTTACAGGCTATGCAACACACAGATTGTAGAAGTGACTAAAATATTAAATTAAAAAGAATTAATATGTAACCAAGATAACGGGATTTCACGGCTTGGATCGGGATACTGAGTAACAAAAATATAATCATACAAAACTAATAGATTCAAACTTAAAGTATAATAATAAATTGGTTAAAAATACAAAAGAACTCAGCAGAATAGTTTTTTTGTTGAATAAATAAGGTAACTGTTAATTGCATAGAGAAGGGAAAGAGGGTTACCGTTCGGTGGATTCTAGGAATAAATGACCATTTTCCTTAAATTTGTCTTCGAAATTCTGGTGCACCAATTTAAAATATCCAAATCATTTGTATTACAAATTGATCCAAAACGACAGATAAACATTCTTACTCTTCTCATAACACCAAAGCATTATCACAATGTAGGGTTCATATAAATGTAACTGAAATCAATTGAAATTCAACTAGGGATAAAATTACTGTATATAAATCTAAACTTACAAAAGTTGCAGATTCAAATTTCAGTCAATAAACCTAATCTTATAAAGCTAGCATAATCAAATATGAATACAACGAAAAATTCGCAAAAAAAACAAAATTAAAACTGAGCAAAATCATTTCACACGTTGAAGAAATAGATGCAACCGTAGATAGAGAAGAGGAGAGGAAGAGGGATACCGTTCGAGAGGGCCGGCGGCGAAGACTGCGACGGAGATGAGAGAAGCTTAGATAGATATTTAGGGTTTGAATTTGTTATGTATTTTGTGGGTTTGGGTTTGGGTTTGGGATTGGGTCATATATTGGGCTCAACTATATCTCTGTATGTTGTTACTTATGATATTTCCAATTTTTTTTATTAGGTATTTGGTTAATATAAATTATCTTTCTTCTCATAGCATTTATTAGATTTAATAAGTTCTTGTAAAATTTATTAGATTTAATAAGTTTTGTATATGATAATGAAAATTAAAAAACACTGATTTTATCTAGTTATAATAATTTGACATGTTTTGGAATCATTTATTTTTTTAAATATGTTTTTGTGACAAAAAGTTTAATTTATCAAATCAGAACTATAATATAGTAAAGTTAATAAAATTTGTGGAACCGTTGACACTATATTATTCTACTTATTATTTAAAAAAATGGTTAAAGGAAAAAATTGACAAAGAAAAATAAAATTAGTATGATTGGTTTTAGAGAAATCGGTTTATAAAATGGTTCAGATGAAAAAATAATTTTTATAAAGAACCGATTTTAAACTAAACCGATCAAAATATAAATTGTTTTGAAAAACTAAACTAAATTTATAAATACAATTTAAAGAACTAAACCAAATCATATATATGGACCAATTTGGATTGGATTATGAATCATGCACACTCCTATTTGAAGGTGGGTGACTTGTGACAACCCCTTAAAACTCACTTTTAATGGTGGAACCTTTATAACCAAAAATATCATAACACAAATTCAATTTGAAGTATATTGTCGAATTCTTACATGGAGATTTTCATATTGATCGCTTATACGATAGTTCAACATTTTTTATTTTCATTCTAAAAAGTTCCTTTCAAATATAATTTAACTAGGATTATTCTCTTATGTCTGCATCATTGGTGTAGTCGACCGAGTTGTCAAGACTAAAGTGGTAGGGGTGGATGAAATATGTGCATCAATATTATCTTATCAGATGAGTGGTCTATATTAAATTATTTGCTTAGCATTTTTCTCCTTAACACGTAAGTTCATTGTTAGACATTTGAATAAGATAATTATCTATATATATTTTATGACATTTGAATAAGATAATTATTTATTTTGTGAACTCGTTTATTGATTTTATCTTCATTCCTTTACAAATTTATATTAACTTTAACATTTTTTATCATTTTTCTTTAACCGAAAACATTTTGCAATATAATTGAAGCAACTAAGAGGTTTAAGAAAAATAGATTTAGTTGGTACCGTGAACAATTTCCAAGCTGTAATCAGACTAATAAGTCTTAGAATGTCATTCATATGCACGTACTATGACAACAAGATTGCACCAATCATCCAACAATAACCTCTTTCTTACTTACTAATAAGTCTCTTATAATTGCAATTTTGTCGTATTATTCTTGCTCCATCAATTCACTATTGCTCTTTAATTAAAATTGTTTTCCGTTTTTTAAATGGTATACAATTCATGTAATCTTTATATCCAATTATATGGAATTGAATCCTTTCTAATTTTTCCTCTCATGCCCTATCTCATGTGCAATTATGAACTGTTAGATCAATCTAGTGGTTGATAATAAAAAGAGAAACAACATCATTTAAAGAAGAGAGAAAAATACATATTAGTTTTAATTTTCATTTATTAATCAAATATTTAAAAGGCAAAAATGAATACTTTTTTAAATGAGAATGTTTCATATTTTTTATTTTCTTTAATTTTGTGGAATAGAATTTTTTTATACTTTAGTTTTTTTGATACTTTAGTGGTTTATAATTTTGTGGAATACATTTTTTTTTCTAGAGAAAGTGGAATAGAATTTTTTTATACTTTAGTTTTTTATTAATCAAATTGATTGTGACTAAAGAAAGTTTTTTTTTCTTAGAGAAAGATTGTATTGAACCGAGTGGTTTTACAAAACCGGCTCCGATTCTTTGGTTCGAATTACTCTCCTAAAGTCTTTCGTATTCAACCTAACCGTTGATACATAAGGATTCAAATCTTTGCTCAGGTGGATCAACTAGAGGAGTTACAAGTGGGGCTCTTAATCTCTTCAAGAATAAGGATTTTAACACACATCAGTATGTAATCATTTTGTTTTTATTCCTAATCTAATTGATTTATGCAATAGATCTTTGTTTAGATGTTAGGATAATGTTTCCTACAATTTCACTTAGAGTGTCTAAAAACCAACATGTGCCATTGGGACAAGCCTAGTTCACATCAAAATAATTGGCGTGCATAGGCCATTTATTATTGTCTTTTTCACCAGTACGACATTAGACCACTAGGTTGTGTACTTGGCTCCAATTATAAAATTGACTTTCAAGAGGTTTTAGACAACACTTCGAGTTGTCTATGTCTTCTCTTCTGACTATTTTTTGGCAGTGTTAGGCCATATAAGACACATTCTTCTATAAAGACAATGTGTGGTAGAAAACCTCTGGACTTATGCCCGACATTTATTTACCTAACTAAGCAAACAAATATCAATTCTTCTGCAGACATTTGACAACCTGGTCTTGTTCAAACTTGGGTAAGGCAACCTCAACCATGAAGACCTTCATGGGATCATTCCTAATGACCACTACGATAAACTCTCCATTGGATTTTAGATTCCCTACCCTTCTCATTTCTTCTAATGTGAGTTACTCGTTGTCCTTTTCCTCCCTTTGGAGGGGTTACTTCTCTTATCGAGAATCTAGCTCTATCAGCCCTTTAGATACTATGATGAGGGCCTTGTTCTCATTGGATGGTTTATACTTTACCAATAAGGCTAGAAGACACGTGGGAGACTCCTCAAAACATGTTTTGAGCATATAGACCTTTTAGGCGATGGTGTGAAATTTTGTCTTCATATGGATTGTTGAAGATATTACACATAATTATGCCAACCTCCGTATTCCTATTATGCATTTGTAAACGATCTTCACTTAATGATAAAAAATACGATGACTCTTTATTCATTTCCCCCAAATGATGTTGAACAAGTAACTTCAAGTACAAAAGGGGGAGGTGGATTATAGTATTCAAAAATTGTGATTAATTCAAAGTTAATTACTTAAAACAAGGGTTTGAGTTAATATAGTTAAAAAAAGCACATATAAAAGTAGCGAAAAATGGAAAGACAGAAATATAGAGGAAAGAAAATAATTGAAAGTAAAGAGAAAAAGTTTAGAGAGATTGCGATATCTTGGCCTACTCCCTTCCTAAGTAAATTCTTCTTGAGAGTTTCACTAAAATAATATCTTTGAGCTTTTTAACAGGTTATACCCATAAACCTTCTTACAATTGACTGATAGATTTTAACAAGACAGTCTCTCAAACCAAAATGGAGCTTTTAACATGCTAATCTCATGAACCAAGAACGAGATTTTACCTGATATAGGTTTTACCAGGATAATATCAACAACCAAACAAGAGAAAAACTCAAGACAATCGCACTCTAGAAAAATAAGTGAACACCAATACAACTTAAACCCTCACAAATGTATTTTACTCACAAAGGCATTAAATTTTTTAATGAAATCAAAATGAGAGAGAGAGAGAGATTATTAAAAGAATGATTGAATTGCGAATTGTGATGTGTATAATAGTGAGGTTGCACCCTCCTTATATAGGAGAAAATATAGGTAAAAAACAATTCAATGTTCATAAATGATTATGTAATAAGGATTATTGGTTATGTAGTGTAAATATGGAATATTTTTAAATTAGGTTGTTACTAATAAATTATAAGTCCTAATAATCGATTATGAGGTGTTACTAAAGAGATAATCGATTATCCCTAAGTGCTAATTGAATATTTAGCATAATTTTCACTCGTATAAAATTATTTGAGCTAGTAATTAACCAATTATTTGCGAAAAACATTTTATGGTTAATTTATCAAAATGAGAGGGTCCTAAAAAATGTTTGGTGAGTGTGTGAGAGTTGGCTTAGTAACTTATGAGTTACTCTAACATATTTACAATACTCTGGTCACTCATACACTACGTTAAATGCTCAATCGACCAGACGAGCTTTCATACTTCGTCTTTTTTATAACTTTGAAGTTTTATGTTCCTTGCTATATTATCTTTGACTTTAGCACTTCACAAAAACCTTGAATATTCTCCCTCGTGAGGCTTGAGATAACTTTAAGATGAACATCTTCATTAGATATAGTTGGAAGGATACCATCAAAGATCATCATGATCAAACAAAGGATCAAGCAACATGATCCCATC